GCTGCAAGTACACGCTTTTTTATTTCATCACTGATATCATTTTTACAGTTAACTTCTGATCCAAGGTAAGTAAAACTACATACAACCTCAAATTTATATGAGCCAATTTCAATATATGTAGGTCCATTTGCACAGTCTTTCTTGGTTACCGGCATGTACTTTGTTTTATTTTGGTTAATTTGTAGATTCATCTTTTTCGCTGCTCTTTCTAAATTAAGAAAAGCTTCTTTCATAGATTTTTGTGTTCTATCAATTATATCAATATCATCTGAAAATGCCAAAATTTAAACTGACTTGTAGAATATAGTTCCCCTTGTGTTGATGCCTGCATCTCTAACTACCTTCTCTAATGCTATATTGAACAAAAGGCAGGCTAGGGAATCTCCTTGTCGAACTCCATTTCTAGTTATTATAGGGCTGGACAACATATTCTGAATCTTAATTTGGCATTGGGTCTTTCTCATAGCGGCTCTGACTAAGGCGATTAACTTCCATAGAATGTGCATTTCTTCCACTGCCAGAAAAAGACTATCTCTATCTATGGAGTCATAGGCTGATTGGAAGTCAATGAAAAGATGATGTGTTTCAATTTGGAATTCATTATACATTTCAAGGACCTGGCGAATAGTGAAAATCTGATCATTAGTTGAGCTTCCTTGATGAAACCCAGATTGGTAATCCCCAATTATGCCTTCCAAAAAGGGAGAGAGTCTGTTAAATAGAATGTTGGAAAATATTTTATATGCTATGCACAACAGACTAATTCCTCTATAATTAGAGCATACCATGACATCGCCTTTCTTATGGATAGGGAATACAAAACTTAGGTTCCATTCCTCTGGGATTATTTCAGTTATCCATATCTTAACTATTAGCTGATGTAAGTGCTTGGCATATTCTGGGCCTGCAAATTTCACTAATTCTGCCGTGATGAGATCCATTCCTGGAGCTTTATTATTTTTCAATAATTTGATAGCTTGTTCTACTTCTTTTATGGTCGGCGCTGGCTCTTCAGCCTCAAAATTTCCTTGATTCCAGTCTATGGTCATACCTTCCACTTGTTCAAAGGCGTTACTATTTAATAATTCCTCAAAATATTGCGCCCCTCTTTCCAGTATTGCTTCATTGCTACTCAATATTGTGCCTTCTTTATCTCTACATAAGGTTGTTCTAGGTTGAAAGTCCTTTTGACTCTTGTTTAGTTTTTGATAGAAAGCTCTAATTTCGTTTGAACTTCTTAAATGCTCCAGTTCAATCAGTTCTTGTTTATCATAGTTCCTTTTCTTCTTTTTATGCAATCTTTTTTCTTGTCTTCTTGCTTCATGGTATTCTTCCATGGACCCTCGAGTATGGTTCCTTTGCTGCATTCTCTTATATGCCTGTTTTTTTTTATTTGTCACTTGCTCACTCTCTCCATCAAACCAATTCTTATACTTTATCCTTTCCATTCTTCCTAAGACTGCACCAGCAGCATTTATAATAACATCTCTGAGGCCTCTCCAAGCTCCACTGACATCCTCACTATCAGAGGGACCTGCCAGGCATTCACCAATTAATCCAGTATATCTGGTTGCATCTCCTTGTTCCACCAATTTTCCACAATTCAATTTCTTAGCCTGGGATCCACGTATCTTCCTTGCATTAGATATTCGACTTCTAATCTTTGATATTATTAAGTAATGATCAGAGTCAATGTTGGCTTCCCTGTAGCTCCTGACATCCATCAAATCTGAACAATGTCTTACATTTATTAGGATGTGATCAATTTGATTAAACACATTTCCATCAGGGGATTTTCAGGTTCGTTTATGTATATCCTTATGATTAAACATTGTACTACCTATTACCATGTTTCTTGAGGATGCAAAATTTATTAATCTCATCCCATTATCAGTTGACTTGTTATGTAGGCTATGTTTTCCAATAACCGATCTATATACATTCTCATTCCTCACTTTGGCATTCATGTTCCCTATGATTATTTTACAATCCCTTTTTGGAAATTCGTCATATATTTCATCCAATTCATCATAAAAGGAGTCTTTCTCCTCATCACTTTTATCTTCAGTTGGGGCATGTGCACAAATAACGCTATAGTTAAAAGACATTCCCTTACTTCATAGCCTACATGTTCTGTAAGATTTTGCCTGGAAGTCTAAAATAAGATGCTTCCTTCTTTTATTAACAATAAAACCTGTTCCAAACATGTGACTTTTCTTCTGACAGCTATAGAATACAACATGATCCCTCTTTTCCATGACTCCTTTACCCAACCACCTCAGTTCTTGTATAGCTGTGATATCTAGTTTATAGCTATCTAGTTGTTCAAGTAGCATTTTTAGTGCTCCGGCTCTGTAAAGAGATAGTACATTCCAAGATCCAATTCTCAAATCCTTTAAACATTTTCCAGGTCGGCTTGCATAGGTCTGTCCAGCTACTCTTTCCTCGGACTTCTGAACAATTTAGTTTTTACAGTGTGAGGTCGTTAGCCTCACGCCCAACCCCCAACCTGGAGGACCAGGGTATCCTTCTCTGTCTGGCTCCTACCCCTTGACCTGTCTGGCATGGGTGGCCCTACCAGTAGCTATGCTACCACCGGCATAGCTCTCAGGGTCTCAGGAGCTCTCAAACCCCACCACCATGATAAGGTGGAGATACCATTGGTGGGGTATGGAACGTCATACAGGATGGAAAGGTTTCAGTTTCAGTCCACTGAAACTGAAGGAAATGACGAGATATCTCAGTAACAGTGCGATCAGCACTGACTTCCGGGACATGGCACCTAGTAGCGGGCTACACGGCAACACATTCAAACAGACCGCATTCTCCATGGTCACAGTCATGAGAACCTCAGGCCTCACTTGTAACAATAACCGGTAACCTGGCCGAGACTCGAACCATTTACTTTTCAAACAGAATATAAAGTGTCAGCACTACGTTAACCTGATTAGCAGCACAGAATTTTGTGGAGTGTGGTGAAGTATTTACTTATCTTGGAATTCCTTTGGAGACGCGAAAAACTTCAGGATGTCAGGAGTTACATGGGAGATTCGAAGCGTCTACCTCCTGAATATGAGCCAATGGAGTTAGTGCTCAGTTTCCCTGCTTAGAGGCCGAGCAGGATATTTCAGATGACGACTACCATGGGGCTCAGCTGCTCAAGGCGCCCCTGAAAGAGGAGCTCAGAGTGGGGCAAGACACCTTCGCCTTACTACAGGAGTGAACAATAGGACACTTTTCTAACTTCTTGCCTTCCATTTAAACAAATAATGTGTAATAAAATTGTGACATTTAGACCCACTGCCAAGTAACGGCTGTGTGAACAGCCTTCTGAAGATGGTCATCTGATTGAAACATGTAAAGGCAATAAACACCTACAAATTGAATCACACTGGACGCTGTTAACAACTATTATTTGATCTTAAATACATAGAGCAGCCGGGATAGCGTAGTCGGCATAGTGATTGGCTAAGGGCTGACGACCAAGGGGTCGGAGTTCGAGTCCCGGTAGGGTCCAGACCGGCTCTGGGGTCCACCCAACACCTTATGCATTGGGTACGGAGGGCTTTTTCCCCGTGGGTAAAGCGGTCAGGGCGTGAAGCTGACCACTCACATCCAGCTAGTGCAGAGGTCAAGAAAATGTAGACCTATACATCCACACCCCCATATGCCTTCATGGGGTGGTGCTTAATTAGTTAAGCACAGGGACAACTTTACCTTTTGTTTAATACACAAATGCTTGGGATCATGTTTGTGTTCAGATACAGGTTTTGTTAGCGAAAATTTCGGTTTCCGTTGCCCCAGATACTTAATCAGATAAGCCAGCTGCTACCTATCCTTTGTGACGAACTGGTTATCCTGACAATATAATCTCATGTCTCAACGTGGCACTGATGCAATGATCCTCAGTCATTTTACTGTTGCAGCGGAAGCAGCTAGCGGAGAAGCAGAGGCTGGTGCAGTTCTGGCTATTGAGGAACCCTGGGGGCCTGGAGGCGGCAAGACACCACCTCTCAGAAGTCCCGGTGTTGATACGGCACCTCTCATTGCCTCTGTGCCTCACACTGAAGACAGGGAGGAATGGAGCAAATGATGTGATCCTTTTGAACTGTCCATGTCTCAGTGGGTGAGGTTTCTTCCTGCATTCTGTGTCCAGTACATGCAAACAAGAGAGGGTGGGAAATGACTGCAGAACCAAAATAAACTGCGAGGTACGCTCTGTGTGCATGACTGAGTTTTACATCGACTATCTGAATGTATTTAAACGTTACTTCCATGACGAATAAATGTATTATTTCAAGACTGTGGTCTTCTTGAACCTGACTCCATGAAGTTTGGTACCTAATTACCAAGTTTCATGGTGTCACATCCCAAAAGGCCATATCTTGATACTCACTGCCATGAGAACTTCAAATCTAACAATGTCCTCTCAAACGGTACGCATTTCCTTATTAATAATGGTTATAACAAGAGGGTTACTGTAATTAAGCATCTTGGCATGAAAAATACGAGGGAGTGGAAGTATCCCTCCGTTCTTCCTTTGGCACAAGACAGAGGAGGTCGGCTTCATGCCCTGACTGCTTGAGACACAGTAAAGATATCCCATGAAAAGATATCAGACCAAGAAGTAAATCCACTGGAACTTGCTAAAATGTGGTGTAACAGATAAAATTTAACTCTAGCAATACCAATGGGCCAGTACGTTCTGCTCACCTTTTACTTTTAATTCTGCCTTGTTTTCAGATGAATGACACTACTCATTTACAAATGGTTTCAACTGGTAGTGTATTGAGTATTGAGTATAGAGGGGGTGGGCTTCCCCATGCACTTAGACCAGTTATTGGTCCATTGTGCGTCCCCCTTTTAATTCCTACTGTCTCCATACCCTACCGGTACTGGTGCTCGCTATTAGCCCCTTTCTGCCAGCGAGGTTCCAACCTTCTACTGACAGTGGTATCTAACAGTTAGTCCCTTTCTGTCAGAGAGGTCCCCCCTCCTCTGGCAGTGGTACCTAATACTTCCCCATCTACCGGAGGCATTGGAAACTACTTTGGGCGGTAAACTTTTTTTTGCCAAATTTAGTTCAGAGGTCTCCTAGAGACATGAGGTTCTTTTACGTGCGACACGGGACACACGGCTTAAAGTCCCTCCTGGAGAACTTGTTCCCTGAATTTTTCCGCCCTTAAAAATTCCACGACCTCTGCCGGGTTTGAACTGGTAGTGTAACTTTGATGTATGTGCGCCCTGTTGTGAGAAAAGCAGCATACACTGCACTGGCCCAATGCATAATAACTGGTCAAAGCTGTCCCAAAAACTGCCTTCCAAGTGACAGTCACAAATAATCCCCTCAGTATTAATTGACAAAATTAAAAATGTCTTGGTATTGATAGGGTTAGGAATCCCTTTGCTATCTGTATGTGTGCTTTGGTGAACCAATTCAATATGCAGCCATGTACTTTTGTTATTCTTTACACAAGTCCTGAATTCTATCTCTAGCAGATAACAATGTGCTTGAAGTATGAGCATAAAATGCACTGGATGTATGTTCCTTTGAATCTTTTGAATAAAGCACCAATGTTCTTTCTGCAGCACCATTTCAATAGGCATACTTCACCAATTTGAAATACAAAACAGGTCTGCTTACTGCATCATATCAAGCACAGTCTAAATGTAAGGATACCAATTAAAATCTTTCCTTCTCCTCATGGATGTTTCTATACTCCCATACTACTTTAGCAGTTTAAAGAATAATGGTACTTATATTTACCACCTACTTTAATAATATAAAGCTCTGCATGCATTTCCCAACACAGTGTATTTGTGTGTTTTGTATGCTTCGCACAATAACAGCAATTACTAGAAGCAATATATTTTTTGACATTTAAAAAAAAGAAACGGGATGGTTTTTAGAAAATATACAAGACGACGGATAATGTCCAAAAACATAATACTTGTAGCAATATGCCATCATCACAAACTTTTAGATCTTAAATAACAGAAATTGTTTCCCTAAAAATCACTAACCAGTTGGTATCTGTAATGGAGATACACTGGAATAAGGAAGCAGCTAATTTTTTAAATATTACTTAGATTAACTTCGGGCTTCAAAAGGCTAATCAGCCTCTGCAATTTCTTCCATTATATGGATGCAATGATACAGTATTGAATCTAAGAACCAATTTGACACTAGGATCAAAGGAAATTATAGTTCTTGCTTATTGCACATAACAATTTGTTTTCCAGACTGACTACTGAAACTGTACATGAAGGGTTCCATGTGTTTGCTAGGAGACACACGAGAACTCGATACAAATGTAGGAAAAGGTTGGTTGGTTTCCAATGGCTGCATTTGGGATGATTTAACCCATTTTGATTCTTGCTTCCCAATAGAGAGCACTCAAGTTCTTGCTCTGTTGCATCTTGAAGAAGTTTGCACTTTTCTTTTGGGAAGCTTTGCCAGATTTGGTGCTCATTTTGCACTAGCCAGGGGACACACATGGCTTTCCCTTATGAAAAAAATGCTGCAACTGAACTGGTAACCCCTACTGCAGAGGATTTGTAGCAGACTATTCTTCACAGGTAAAGTTGTCCCTATGCTTAATTAAGCACCATGCTATGAAGAAGCAAGCAGGATTGGAGGTAGAGCACCATATATTCTTAACCGCTGCACTCGAAGGACATGAGCGTTCAATGTAAGCCCCAGCCACTTCACCTACACTTGATACATGCATGAGGCAGGCAGCAAACTGTCTGCTTCATGCTGGTTTTCTGCCTGACTTATGCTTAAACCCTGATGATGGAAGCAACAAGTTCCCCTGAAACATCAGTTGACTTTCAGCATATTATACGGAATTATATGCCAGAAAATATAACTGCTGATTAATTCTATTCACTACATACAGTAATAATAGTGACCATTCAGTGTTCACATTCATGGTCACATTTTCTCTCTGCATTTTTATCAAAATACAAGAGTAAATCATTTCTATCTTCAAGTTCCTACACACTCATATATGGACATACAAATCCTGAAATCTGAAATGATGATAAACATTTTGGTGACCATGACAAATATTTCAACTTCATAATGAAACTGGTGAAAGATCACAGGTGGAATATCACATATTTGTTTTATTCTCATGATTTAATACATCAATTAATTAGGTATTACTTTGCTATATGTTTAAAATACAATATAATTATGACACATGACAGAAATATGCTTTGGTAACAAGAGTAGACATAAGCTCCGTTAAGAAGCACTTCAAGATAAATAAAGGTATCAACTTCAAACTGCAGTGCCTGGGATGGAGTCATCCAAAGCTCATCAGTTAATATGATGGACTTAAGCTCCCATACAGATTACCGTAGTTTATGTTTATCTGGGTTGAGTGATCACATCAGCTACATTATGGTTGGCTTTTAGCTCAATCTTGACATGATACATCACTCCACTATCTACATTACTGATCACCCCAAATTTTTATCTTATTTCTATTTTACAGTTTGCTGCACAAACTCAGCCTCCTCTTCATTCTTCCCCAAAACTACCCTTCTCACTTCCTTACCACCTGTTTCATATGTTCTTGATGTCTTCCAGTATCAAGCTAAACCATCTTTTTCTGGACCATCCCACAAACCTCTTTCCTTTAAACTTTAAATCTAATGCCCTTCTATGTATCCTTGTTCCACCAATTCTTTCCATGTGGCTAAAGCACTGCAACCATTTCTCTTCTGGTGCACTATAAACAAATTCTGAATTTCAACCTCTTTTCTGAAGTTTCCATTTCCAATCCTAATTCTATTTTACCCTCAACACTCCTAAAAAATTTCATACTTAAAGCCTTGGATTTTTCTTCTGTATTAGTACTTGTTTAAAATATGTTTTATGCATTGTTGTTTTCCCTCTTTTGAGCTCACTCTGTTCCATATTGTGCTTCTCATAATTTGATAAAATTTGGAACTATTATTTATTCTTACATCAATCTCTCTGTTGATTTTTGTTTCACTTTCAAAACAAATAATTTGTTTATCACTGTGTTGTAAACCTTTATTCAGATGTCCATGTGTAGGCACAGCAAGCTGACTGTGGATGTCACAGTGCTTTCAAAATGACAAGGATGAATTTATAACAACAGGATATCATCATCTCCAAGGACTGCAGAAAATCTAACAGGCTTCTTCAACTATAAGGTACACAACTCCAAACAACAAGTGAGTGTCGGGAGACTGGTATGTCAGTCCAGAGTGCTTGCTTCCTTGTTACCGCAGTTCATTACCTTGCCACCACTATGTCAGTACAGATCAACAGACAATACAACAGTGGATGAAAATGGCACAGTTGACTTTTAAAATTATTCAAATACTGGCTATACTTCAAACTGTGGCAGTTAGTCAAAGTTCACTGTTCCAGCTTGTAAATTTCAGCTCCAGTGTTGGGTTCGGTTGCAAACACCAGGCTGTCCAAGTCTTTGCCAACAGCTGCTGGGTTTCCCTTATAAAATTTTTCCTTCAATGTATTGATATAATCACTGACAGTGTCCTTGGTTGTAAGGGCCACTATGCAACCTCCCCACCTGAAACAGAAGGCACATCTCACGAGAGGATGGTATGAAATAACTACCTCACTGTCCTTAGATTCACTGGACATGTTATTTTTTTATTGCTAGTGGGGTGGGACTAAGTCCCTAGTACTGCAGCCACTTATGGCCTATTGTACCAGCCCCAGATGATAGGTGAGGGTGATTGTGGAGCAAGCGGCGGAATGATGATCGATAAGGAAAGCCGAAGTACTCGGAGAAAACTTGTCCCACCACCACTTTGTCCACCACAAATCCCAGTTGACCAGACCAGGGATCAAACCCAGGCCACCGCAGTGGGAAGCCAGGGACTAACCGCTTGAGCTATGGCACGGCCTTTTCACTGGACATAAGCACAATACACGCAATTATATCATTCCATATTCCAAGGCCTTCATATCCTCCGCTGGAAGCCTTCTGCAATAATCTATGAATTTATCACATGTTATGATCACATGACTGGACAGTGTCTTTATAGAGGAGCTGTAAAATAAGTAGTCACTACTTCCTTAACCACAAATTATTCACAGCTTCAAATCTCTCTTTTGATCTTCAGCGGATACAAAATTTTAATTTTACTTTATTTTAGGGCAGGGTGTGCCTCAGTCCCATGGTACTGAGGCCATAAACAGCCCACTGTACCAGACTTGGATGAGACCTAAGAGAAATGGAGCACCTGATATAACGAGAATCGGTAAGAGTATACCAAAGTACTCAGAGAAAACCTGCCCAATGGCACTCTGTCCACCACAAATTCCACATGAACTGACCTAGTCTTGAACATGGGCTGCCACAGTCACATGGCAATCAACTAAACTTTATTGAATTCGTAGTCCCTCCCCCAACCTGCTATCAGATACAGTCTGACCTTTTGGCCGTCACACTCCAGCGTTGCCACTTATGTCTACACGTTGCCATAATAGGACAGTCATAAACGTTTACTTACATAATTTATGCACCCTTACTTCCAGTCACCAATAGAGGTTACCAACACCAGGGGACTCACCCAGCTCCTGTAAGTCGTGAACCAAGAGCCCTTCCTTCACCCAGATACACAAGTTTGTCCAAATTTGGGTGGCTGCATTCATACAAATTCTTCAGACTCTCATGGCTTTCCCGCATCAGTTCTCCCAATTTCATAAGTGCAAGCGATGATACCGTTTCATTTTGACATACTTCTTGGAAAGCCCTGACCCGATTTGCTTCTGTAAATGCATGAAGATAAGATATCAGCATCTGGCACGCATAACCGTGCCAGATTCACCAAACTGATGAAACTCGCACTGTATCAAAACAAATATTTTCCCAGGCACAGACACTCAAATTAGAACATACAAAACTATAATTTTGCCTGTGGTTCTGTATGGGTATGAAACTTGGTCTCTGGCATTAAGGGAGGAACATAGACTGAAGATGTTTGAGAACAGGGTGTTGAGGAGAATATTTGGATCAAAGAGAGATGAAATGATGGGAGGTTGGAGAAAACTACATAATGAGGAGCTTCATAACTTGTACTCTTTGCCAAGTATAATTAGAATGATCAAGTCAAGGAGGATGAGGTGGGCAGGGCATGTAGCACGAATGGGGGAGAAGAGGAATGAATATAGGATATTGGTGGGAAGGCCAGAAGGAAAAAGACCACTGTGAAGACCAAGATGTAGGTGGATGGACAATGTTAAAATGGATCTTGCAGAGACAGGATGGGATTGTATGGACTGGATTGATCTGGCTCAGGATAGGGACCAGTGGAGAGCTCTTGTGAACATGGTAATGAACCTTCGGGTTACATAAAATGCTGGGAAATTCTTGAGTAGCTGCACAATTGGTGGCTTCTCAAGAAGGGCTCAGCTCCATAAGTGAGCAAGACATAGACACTCGATTTATTAAAATTGCCTATCCCAAGTGCAGTCTGACGTAACTCATTGTGTGAAATTTTTAATAAACTAACTAAACAAATTTCACATGAAGAATGTAAAACAGATAAAATACAGAATTCAACATTAACTTTTACTGGCCATCTGCTGTGTTACTGCAACTCTCTGCTATTTCCATCCTCAGGACACATAATTCTCTGATGATGGTGACAGAGGTGGTCTCCAAAACACTGGACTTCAGCTCAGAATTAAAGCAACTGCTATCCCAAGAACACTTCAACATTTTTAGCTACCATGATAGCTTCAATTCATATATTACTCACTGCCATTAGTTTAATTGAACTAGCAATGGGTAGGGGAGGTTCTCTTCCAGGGGGTAAAGTGGCTGGGGGGTGAAGCTGACCATTCATCTCCAACTAGTGCCAAAGTCAAGAAAATATGGATCTGTACATCCACTGGCCCATATATCTTCATGGTGTAGTACTTAATTAGTTAAGCATAGGGACAACTTTACATATTATGGTAACAAAGTATGCAAAGAAACCCAGTACGTGAACCACCACATATTTCAGAAGAGTAAAGCTATGGTTAGACAGGAAGACTTTTAAATGTGGCATAGCATGCACAAACCCTGATACACATGCAGAGCTCTCTGATGAAGTTTGAAGTGGCTGATGTGAGTTGTGTTGCTGCTGAGGGACAATTGGTCCAGGAACCCCTCGCTCACCTCAAGCTCACCGCAGATCTGATACACAACACAGCACAGCGGAATGTCATAACATTCAGTTCAAACTGATACACGCTCAATATGACATAGAACGCTCATGGATCTGTAATGTTCAAAGGCAATAATTTATATACAAAATACGATACAATATCTGCATGCACAATTTCCCAACTGATATATACGCATTCCCCACTTTTAGAAATAGTTGCATTTCTGAAGAAAATTTCACAATAAAAATCACTATTTCACATGGACACAATGATATAATCGGGGGCTACATTCCTAAGCAACCAAGAAGAAATAAAAATCACAAATTGTACTGCCTGCAACAAAATGCATATGAACTGAAGGAGACCATGTTATGCTACAAAAATATTAATAAAATCTGTTACAGAAAACAGCAAAATCTTATATATGTCGCACACCAGAACAAAGCATATGCTGAACTGACAGGACAATGCTGCATCTGTTTGCTTCTGTTTTCATTCACACACACATTCATTTTTGTTCAGAAGGAATTCTGGGTAAGCAAGTTCGCATCCGGATAACATAGCAAGCTGAAGGTATGTGCTAAGAGTTCATACGAGTGAAATTTCATAATGTGAATCTTCACTGGGTGAGGACTGTCAGTAATAACTTTAATTGGTTCACATAGTGTGCCACAAAACCTGGTCATTGCCTGAGGACAGACGATTATTTCACGCATCTACTGGCACATGGTCCCTTGAAATGTCAATGCAAAACTGATATGGATAACAACACCACTCTCAATCACCCTGTACATATTTCATCGTGGTCCGTTCTTGCACATTACAGCCTCTGATGGGTACAGAAACCACACTCTCACTGAATATGTATTCTATGAACCTTAGAAGTTCCAGGACATCTACATTTATACCAATGTACTGAACAACTCACCTGTCTTGTCTAGCACAAAGGTGAAGAATGCATGGAGCTATGCCTCTACTCCCCATACAGCTTTATGGCATGGTACTCAAATAATTAAGCACTGGGATAACATTCTACAAAGTTTCAAAGTCATAGTATGTAAGTGAGAGATAACGGATGTTCATGTAGAGGCTAGAAAACTGATAACACACTGTCAGTGTGTAAAATGTATTACATAAAAATTGCAATGAAGATTGATACCCAACTGTCTTCAGGCGCAGTTTTATCCTGACAGAAGAGCATAGACACTACAAGTGTCACGAGACATCTGAATGCATTCTGAACAAGCACAGTTCGAGGCTGCGGTTTTCTGTGTTGCGGCACCAAGCAGTGCTGTGTGCCGGTACCAACATTTCAGAAGAACACACTGCCTCTATTTTCAGGGTTAAAGTGTGCATCAGCAACATCTATGAAGAGGCAATATTATGCAAAAGTCAACTCTCAGAAACCTGTCACATAACACAGTTAGGCCAGTCGGCTCCATATCCTTTCACTTTAACCCTGAAGATGGGGGAAATGTGTTCCTCTGAAATCTCTGTATCCACTTACAAAACTACACAGTGGCACAACCCAGAAGACCACACTCTTTTAACACTTCGCGGACCGGTGATTTAAATATTTAAATCACCCTGGGGACCGGCATTTTTAAACATACTACCCTAACATGTGCACTGTTCACTTTAAAACTTAATATAAAATATCCTAATTAATTTTTTGAACTAAAATATTTGGAGAACACTTACCAATGCTCCAATGATATTTCTGGAAACTTTCCCCTTTGTGAAGTGGCATTACACAGAACTTGCAAATGTAGACATACTCCTTTTTTTGTGAACTGTGCAAACATGGCATTGCCTAGAAGTATTCTTCCCCTTGGAATGTTCACTCTTCACAATTTTCACGAGGGTATTTTTCCGCATATCACTCAAGAGTCGCCCTGGGGCGTCCACGAGGCCTTCGTGGGGTGGGAGTTGATGGGCCCGGTCGTAATAAGTCTTTGTGTGACTGGGAGTTGATGGGCCCGGTTGTAATAAGTCTTTGTGTGACCCTGGTTCTGCGGCCACCATCTGGACTGTAGTCCAGGCCTTTGCCACATTCATCAGAAATGCTTTGTATTTCAATTTTGAATCAGGGTTTAGATTTTTTTTAGATTTTTTGCTGTCCCCGCAATGTTACTACGCGCAATTACCCGCATTATCGTCGGAGCCACCGTCACTTTTACTGTCTGTGGCCACAATTCTTTATTGTCCCCCGTCAGTGTCGCTGTCTGAATGACAATTAATCCATTACTATGTGTCTCACAAGGCAGGTCAACTAGGTCATCAGAGGAGAATTTGTCCTTGATCCATTCTCCCCACTAGCTACTGGCTGATACACACTGCTTGAAGAAGGCAAAGCATTTTCCTTTATAGTTGGTTAAGTAAACAGTGAGGTCAAGTTACTGACTGCTAACTAAACATTCCAGAGTCTTATCACGCATCTGTAGGCGGTTGCGTGCAATGTAGGTGGTGCCAGAGTGATGTATAGTGTGTTGCAACTTATCGTGTTCTAAAAACCTGTGAACACGTGAACGGTCCGCCAGTTTAAAAGTGAAAAACATTTTAAAGGGTGCGTGGTCCGCAAAGTGTTAAAGAACACCTCTGTGAAAACATCTGAACTTATGGAAGTTCATTTTGTCTGAAGTGGAAGTGAATCTTCCAGCCATGATGCACTTCTTTCATGTGGTGACATCACGACTGAGCAACTATTTCAGCCTTTCCAAGCCCGTGACACATCATGTGTAACTCCCCCGCATAGACATAATGGACAGGGAACTACCAGTAATTACAGCTAACTGTGGATGCAGTGAGTACGAGTGAAGTGCAGTCCATGTATTTACAATAGGCTAATACTTGTTACTCTACTGCTACATCCCTCGGCAAATAGTTCCAAGCAGCAGTAAACAGCATAGTATGCAGTGTCTACTCTGCCAAAATACTCGTAAGTTCACAGTGTACCTCCAGACAGCAGCACTGTTATTCTATCACGCAACGTACAGGTTTTACCTCCAAGAGTCTAAAACATCTTCTTTCAAAATGGCAGGGTACCCACTTGTCAAAACCAAGTTCATGAATCAAGTCACACAACTATCTCACCTCTTCCTTGGAGTATGGCTCTTCATGTAACAACTCTTTCACAAGGTCAACCATCTCAACCAAACTTGCGCTTACTGCCGACTGGAGATCGGCCAGGCTAGACACTTTTTCCCATGACAGGCCACGCTTCTTGGCCATAATCTGAGCAAATAAGAGACCAGACATAAGCACCATCAGGTTTTACTTCCAAGAGGGATGCACCCAGAAAATCTGCTTACAAGCTTTTGGGCCACCCTGGAGTTGCGGGTCTCTACACTGAAATGCAGATGTCCCCCACATTCAATAATAATTGTAATTTTTAGTATTAATACTTGGTATATTTCCTCCTGTTTTTCAGTTTTTAATGCCAGACGTCCACACACATTGTGGACACTACTACTGGTAAGAACACGGACATGCACACTGTCACCAAGTCATCTATGGATGAATGAGGTTGAAAACTGAACAAATTCCTATTTCATCATTGGAAGTTACCTGCGCTGCCAAGTGACATTCCGCTACTCGACAGTTGAAATCAGATGTCTTGGCCTTGTTGAGAACGGCGAGGGAGTGTGCTATCACAAACACTGCGCCATCTGGCAGTTTCACATCCTCTGACAGCAGCGGGTTGAACTGTATGTGTTTTGCACATCCTGTAACACAGAGTGGACACTTCTGTTTCACTGTCAGACTCCTTTACGAATGGAGCTACCCTTCACATGGGGCATGCAATAGCGTAGTTGGTTGCGGCACTATGCTACAAGTTGGAAGGTCATGGGATCAAATCCCGATGAGGTGGATTTTTTCAATTTACCTAATCCTTCCAGCCGCACTATGGCCCTAGGATCGACTCAATCTCTAACTGAAATGAGTACCAGGAATCTTCCTGGGGGTAAAGGGTGGCCGGCGAGTGGGGCTCACAACCTTGCCACCATCTATGAGCCAAATGTCTACAAAATGTGTGGGAACCTCAACATCTCACAACTCTATGTGCCTCCACAGCTTGCTACAGAGATAACTTTACTTTTACTTACTTACTTGCTACCCTTCACATGGCAAGCATACCTGCATGTGAGGTCTGAAGTTCTCATGGCAGTAAACATTCTGGGACATAACAGTCCAATTAGGTACTGGTATCAAAATTTTGGAATAACATGCTGCATCCATCTTCAGGGTAGAAGATAGAAGCAACAGGTTCCTCTGGAGCACTGACACCAATCTAACAAACTACAAGGTATCACCTCCCAAAAACCTATATTTGAAGCATACATGTGTGCCTCCTTCTGGTGCAGATAAAACACCTTCAAGTAATTTGCTAAAATATACAGCAGTCCCTTCATAAGCTTGGATGTCTACATGTTTTTAATTAAAACTAGAAAACCTGCCTCATTTCTAGGGACGTAGCTGAAAACCTCTTTTTGAACCACTGAAATATTACACACACTGCTCTTTCATTTCCCTCAAGCCTGATTCTAGGCTGCAACACAGTTCTGGAATCTGCACTGTTCACATTACAGACACTGCATAATTCCTTGCACTTCCTCTAACAGGGTGTTAAATAACAAAATAATGTAGAGAGAGAGAAACAAACAACACAGAATGTTATTTCTCTTGATTTCTGAGGTAAAAGACATAGTTCAAACCTTTTGTTCCTAGAAATGCAATTGCTTGATCCATCCCACCTCCTTGGGTACCAATGTATCGTTCTGATGAGGCACTAAGAGAAGCGATTTCCAATTTAGTCATCTTCAGCTGAAACCATAAGCATAAATACACAGTATGAGATGACAGGCAAGATAAATTACTTGTGGTACTTTATGTGACTGGAACTGACAGTGACATGAAATTAGTGAGCTTAACCCCTTCTGTGCTAAAGGTATATATATATATACATATACTAGATTATCAGTATCAAAGTTGAGTTATAAATCAATGTTTCAGACATGGAACAGGCCTCTGAAATGTTAGTTTCCTCTCAATTTCAAACAGCTGATCACAGAACACAATTTTAGTGAAAATATAACCTTACAGCAATCCTGTAACCGGCTGCGGAAGCACACAGGATTGTGAAACGTTGAAGCTCCAACATTTTCTAGACAGTGGACTCACAGATGGCGGTGAGGTTATCAGCCTTACACACCGACCACCTTTTACCTCCAGGAAGATTCCTGGTACTCATTTATGTTAGAGGCTGAGTTGACCCCAGGGCCAAAGTGCAGCTGGAAGGATTAGGTCAATTGAAAAATCCAATGATTTGATCAGGAATTGAACCCATTACCTTCACTCTTCAAATATATCTTGTTCAAATTTTTCCTGTATAACAGCAGACATGATATACATACCATATTGGCATGTGCAGCTGCAAGGGCAGCTGCACTAACAAGGGCACTAGAACTGGACAGGCCTGCACTGAGAGGAACATTGCCTGTCACAGCAACAAGCATGCCCACCGAATCCTGAGGAAGCACTTCCAATACACCTTTCAGGCCGCACAGGAAATAACTGTGCCACGGTGGTGACACTCCCTTCTTTACTTCAATGCTACCAACACAAAAAGCATGTGGTCACTGCTCTGTTCAACACACAAACAATTCAGATTTGAATATCTCTCGGTAGTGAGTGTCAAGAGTACGGTCTTCTGAGATGCGATGCTGCATTATTTTGTAGATACATACCTGCTGCCTCCATCTTCAGAGTTGTATTTACCCTGAAGCAGAAAGCAGCAGTTTTGATAAATTTCTACCAGACTACATGGCACCACACCCCCAACAACAGCATCCTTTAGACACTCTGAATTATGGTTACTTCTACTGACATACATACCTCAAAGAATTTACATCACACTGAAAATCACTGTGACTGGAGTCTGTATTTGTGAGCTGCAGTTTTGGGACACTTACTGGTTTTACAGCCAGCATTATGTCATACTGAATTGCCATTGGCAGGACAGAATAGCCACAATAATCAACATGCTCTCCAATAAGGTTTACCCTGTAACAGACAAATACTTTTTAGTCTGTCCTACAGACTAATGTCTTGAATATGTGAAATCTGTGGTTCTCACAGTGGTAAATATTAAGATTATGGTACTCCGGGATGTGACACCACATACTTCAATAGACAGGTTCCCAAAATGTTTGGACGAATCTTGAGGAACAGCTACATAACATCATATCCCAGATGACTGTAACCTTAATTAGTAGAGTGAATAATTCATAGATGGGGTGAAGAATCAATGTATGACTATTGAGGCTTAACTGAACAGTGGTAACTTTCAAAATGGCACTTCATCAGGTAATATATCCTGCATACAAGTGATCTGTGTTCAGCAAAACAACTCTTGATTTTATATTTAATGACCTATACATGAACAAAAATAAGCAATGCAAACATTTCCATACATATAATCTACATTCTTGTAAAATGACATTGTGAAAAAAAAAACACAAAGCATGTGAACACTCAACCTTTGTAATCTAAATTCACAAGATTTTTTTATACAAAATCTATGACGACGTTTCATTACAGTTGCTACCTAAGCAACTTTCCAGATTAATGGAGCTGTTTACGTATTCCTGGAACACAAAAAATACGCCTGGGGTGTGCTATCGTCACAGTAGTCTCGTGTGAATACACTTACCTTCCCGGGACACGAACAAAAAATTCGGGTTCTTCTTTGTACTTTATGACAAAATGATTTTTCAGTTGGGTTACTCTAGCACCCCGCAGTTTGCTTCCTTGCAGTTGAAGTACAGGTGTATAATTATTTTTCATTCCATTATTCGTTTCCTCAGCCATCACTGCCTGCAAATAAGTTGAATAACACTGAAATCAACACGAGCTTTTTTTTTTTTTTTTTNGCGTTGCACCTTGTATCCAACAACAAAACTCAACTGGCGTTTACAGGCTAGCTATGCTAGCTATCAGCGTTATACTGTTTAATTTCCACGTCATCAGTTTTATCAGTATGACATCATTATGAAATATTTGACGTCCACTTAACTGTTTAACAGCCATGTCAATACAAAAGCCGGTCAGTCAAATACGTATCCTGTTTACTACAAATCTGTCCATGTTGAGCCACGCACACATATATCGCTGCAGGCTTTTCAGCATCATAACAACAAAAGGCGCCGGTGAAATTAATCATTATCAGTCACCATGCACAAGCCGCATGGTGATCCAAATATTACAGTAACATTCTATTTTTCAGGCCCTCCTACCAAATAAACACCACCAGCTGACTAGGTGAATTGTGTACACAGTTGTCATAGATTCAGTTCATTGAGCTCGTCTTTGGATATCACGGAATATCGGCATTAAATCACAGTCACTGATTGCCCTTGAACCTAATTATCAGTGATACCAACGTGGAAAATGTGAAGCACTAACTAATAAAATATGATGTAGATAAATAATATTTACTTTAAAATAACAAAGTACATAAGTTAATTTCATCGTTTTTTCACATATATTGCACGAAGTGCATAAAATCAACTCAATAATAGGGATATTGAGTTTGCCTCTAAGCCTACACACCATCACTGAAACTTCAGAATATATTTAAATTAAATATGGGGGTGGGGTATATCTACAAATACCGAAAATTGGTAGACGTATATGAGGTTGGTTTATATAAGCCTTATATAACCCCAGCCTTACATGAAATTGAGATATAACACAGACTACTCGAAACACTGTCCATAACACAAAATGTAATTTCCTTGACAGTAGTGTACATATAAGGTAGGAAGAAAAAATGTATATTTACAACACTGGCCACTCCACACCACAACAGTAACTTTATGTGCTAACTTTTGTCACAAGTGTGTGGTGGAGAATGACAAACGCATAGGTCAAATTGCAGGTTTTCTCACCAGTTCCAGCTTACCAATGCACCCCTTGCAGCAGAGTACTTGAGAAGCTAACAACCTGAAGTAAATGAATCTTTATAGATATAACTAAGTTTTAAAACTATTTGATCTCTCCAGTATTTAATTTAAGATAATGTTAATATTTATTGTACATATATTAATTGATACTTTATATTTATAGTTTTGGATATTTTAATATTCTTATTTTATATATATATATATGATTGGTTTTATTGACTTATTTATATTTGTTTGATATTTATTGATCTTTATAACCTATAACTACTGATATTCTTACAATTTTTATTCTGTTGTGTCCACTGTGTATGTGCCTATTTGATGATATTAATCAGTTTTCCCGTATGTTTTGTGGTGTGGTATGTATTTGAGAATATCATGACAAATTCTGTATCCTTATTTTGGATTTTGAATGAAATAAAATAATAATAAACATAATACAATTAGGATAACAACTGATGTTCCTGATTTTGTTACAGATTGTAGGTAATAGCACTTTATTGTTGCATGTGACGGTTTATGTTCATGTATTCATGTTTTATTAATATTTATATATGGCTAACTGTTATGACATTGCACAATTGTTATGCAGTATGTAATTACGCTTACTCATGTTGACTTCTTCTATATCCATGTTCATGTATTCATGTATTCATGTTTTTGTAAATATTTATATATGGCTACTGTTATGACATTGCACAAATGTGATGCAGTATGTAATTATGCTTACTCATGTTGACTACTTCTATATCCGTGGTGTTTTGAACCATGTAAGGATTTATGGAATGCTGAATAAATGTAAATGTAAATGTAAATGGTCTATCTGATCATGACGGGCAACTTTTGTTTGTACATTAAAAAGAGATCAGTAGGGAAAGGACAAACCTTAATTTAAAAATTATCCGGATATTTAACAACTGTTCCCTAGATGATTTCAAAAGTTTTGAGACTTGGGGAAACTATATTTAATGCTGAGGACAATAATATAGATAGTGTGTTTAATAATTTTGTAGATGTATATTTGCAGATATTTAATGCTTGTTTTCCCAAAAAGAAAATTTACGAACATTTTTCCTCCAAACAATGGTTAACCACTGGAATAAAAACTTCCTGCAGAAGGAAAAGAGAATTATATCTTTTGGCAAAATTTCATGACAATGAAAATCTAAAGCAGTATTATAAATCGTACTGCAAGATTTTAACTAAGGTAATAAACGAGGCAAAAAGACTTAGCAATGAGGACAAAATTACCAACCCTAATAATGTCGCCAAAACCACTTGGAACATTATAAGGGCAGAACTGGATAAAGCTTGTTCAAAGGATAAAATCTGCAATACAGTCCAAACCAACTCAAGTAATTTTAATAATTATTTTTTAAACGTTGCTGATAATATTATTCAAAAAAATTCTAGCCAATTTACCCCTGATACTGATTTGAATAACAAATACAAATATTATTTGAACCTGGCTGCTAAGGGCCCTTTTCCTAAAATCATTTTCAATAACATAACAACGAAGGAAATTGAAAAAGTTCTCTCTTCTTTACCTTCCAAAAACTCTTCTGGATACAATGAGATTTCATTGAAGATACTACAAATAAGTGCCCCACACATTTCTTCTCCGTTATGTTGTGTATTAAATAAGGCAGTATCAGCTGGTAAATTTCCCTTACGCGTGAAGTATTTGATTGTTAGCCCTCTATATAAGAAGCGAAATAGAGAAGATTGTTCTAATTATAGACCAATCTCCTTGTTGACATCATTTTCCAGGGTAAGATTTGAGGCTTTCACGGCGGTGACTATGAAGAAAGCAGTCTTCTGGGATTTGGCACCGTGTATATGTGTGTATGCTAACCGACGTTTCGGAGGAACGTATCGCCTCCATCTTCAGGGTAGAAGAAAAAATATATAAGAAATCTGCAAGCAAAGAGACCGTGAGAACCGGTAAAAGCAGTCTGCTGGGATTTGGCACCGTGTCTGGCAGTCTGCTTTTACCGGTTCTCACGGTCTCTTTGCTTGCAGATTTCTTATATATTTTTTCTTCTACCCTGAAGATGGAGGCGATACGTTTCTCCGAAACGTCGGTTAACACCACATATACACGGTGCCAAATCCCAGAAG